CCTATATCCATGTTTCGGAGAAGGATAACGGGGACATGGGCGCTTCCAATATCTCTGGTTCCATCAGTCGCTCCTTCAATAAGGCGGGGGCCACTCCGCCTCGGTGGCGCATCAGGATTTGCGCTCTGTGAATAATCAATTTTTACGCGCCGGGTGCGTGAATCGTCCGCGTTCAGAGGAGTTGATGAGACATGAGAAGGTGGTGGAAGAGTGATATAAGGGAAGTTTGGCTCCAAGAAACGCTGGGCTTCGTTTAGACTCAGAAATTGCGCAAAACCGAAAGATTTGGACATCCCTTGGACAAAAAGCGGTGAAAGAAATTCATCAGTCAGTGGAAGAACAATCTTACCTGTTCCCCTATCCCGGATGATAGTGACATTGGCGATCCCAAAGCCTGATCCAGTTAAGTATGCATGGAGCTGGTGACCGAGAAATCCGTTAGAACAATTTATAGACATTGCAATAATCAGGGGTGATTCAGACATCAGATTCTGTGAAGTCTGGGTCGAGTCCAAGGAAGATGACATGTTCACTGGGTTCACTTGCTACCATACGGGACGGCGGTGGCCATAGGAGTCACGGTCGCGATGGGTGTGATCCTCATATCGTTCGTCATAACTTTGTTGGTTGGAAACTGAATAATGCTGTGACCGAAATTAGAACACTTTTCATGGTGGAGCGTTTGTCGAGGGTTACTCACTCCGTCACCATCTGTTTTTCTTCTTTTCCAATCCCCTTCACTACGTTGGTGCTCATAGCTATTTTGGCGCCAATCCCGGTCAGAACCGCCTCCGCGAGAGTTGTGATACCCATTCCCATCGTAGTCATCATAGGTCTGTTGTTCGTAACCGTCATGACCCCACTGGCGGTCCGACATAGTCGCAAGAAACGAAATCGAGAAGTGATAGAGAAACGAAGTTGTGGAGGAACTGGATTGACGGGAGAGTCCGAACTAAAGTCCGTTTTTGTCCGTTTCTTAACGCCGCAACCCCCAATTTACACCATGGCTGCAGGGAACAGTCGTATGTCCTCTCCCTCTTTTGGGCCTAGCACAGATAGACCAAACCCTCATTACAGCCATGCTCAGAGTCCGTACTACGCAACGTCGTTCGTGCCGTTGAAGAAGCTTATGTGGTTTCGTTTGTAGACAGACCCAGCCATTGAGCGCTGGGTCTCAATGGTAAGCACCTGCAAACGGACGTGCTATCCGTGGGTCTCCTCGTTAATGGCATTACAGCGTGAAAATGTCTATCAACACTTTAGGTTCACCCCAGTCAAGACCCGTCAGGTCGTCGGTCTCATGGTTATTGTCCCCGCATTTTGTGGCCTTCTCGCGTATGCAACAGACGTATGTGCCTTCACAATCTTCGAGCGTGGGCGTCGTGCTCAGTATGATACACTGTTCCAGAACAAGTTTGATTGGGCGGGGAAAAAGAAGAACGATTCGCTACTGCGGACACCTGCATCCTCACAAGACTGACATTGTTACACTATTCAAGCATTATAGAGTGTTTGTACGACGATGTCTGCTTCTAATTCTATATTCGTTTGCAGAGTTGGATGGCAACGTTGCACCCAAGCTCGATAACCGCTGACATCAATGCGTGTGCAGGTGCTCGTTGAGAATTTTCTGCCACCGCCGTACCCAAATGCTCCAATTCATCATCCCTTAGCTCCTTTATGAGATCTTTCAGCTGGCTGATTCCCTCATTGTTTGGCGAAATGGTTTCAAGCTGCTGGAGCTGGCTGTTGGAAGTTGATTCGACGTCAGGTGTCGCCTGGGGACCGTGATACCCCAAAATTATAAACTCACTGTTCGTAGTGCTCGCCAATGGCAGTCTCAACGGCTTCCGTGCATGCCATGGCTGCTTCTTTTCCCATGAGCGCTGTAACGGCACCAAGTCCGAAACCCGTTATTTTCGCCACTTCCATGAGCAATGTTGGCCGGGCTTGATACTCGATCTGAAGTTTGTCCATAACCCGTAGGTGTTTCTTTTCCTGATCCCACATTTCCTACGATAAACATTAAGCACATATTATCTCTACGAATGGAGCTGATGAATTGCCGAACTTGTATTATTGGTCCCAAAACCTGATCCTTGCCAAGAACAGCCATCTGGCCACGATATATCCAGTTTGCGGCAACCTCTCCCGCCTGGTCAACGCGTATGACTTCAGAAACGACATTGCGCCCGGCTTGAGACAATGCTTCATATCGTGGGACAATCCTTTGAGCAAGGTACATCGAAGATAGTTTATGTACACTTGATGGTCCTTCTTTCAGAGTCCTGAGAGATGCATGGAGAGTGTGGGGTGGTCTGGCCAGCATTGCAGCTGACGTTGCCATCTTTTAGGATTGTCGCCACGCTACCTCACTGTTCCGGGTCGCACAAGCCCAACATTTAGGCGAAACCGGAGCAGGCGTGGGAAATGCCGAGTTCGAAGTGAACTAACATTATACAACGAAAATAGTTCATAGTACCAATATTACGAACTAGCCAAGTGAGCAGCACGCTCACTAAGCAAGAACGCAACAAAGTCAGTTACACGTCTCACTAAATCTCGATATACAGGAAGGCAACGTCCAGAATATATGCAGAGAAAGAAGGTATAGAGATTTATGTGGTTCTGTAAGATGGTAGTAAAGGAGAATGACGGTGAGCGTAAGGAGCGGAGCAGGATAGCGATGGAACGCGATCTTTAGTTTGGGAAATCGAGTTAGATAGGTGACTAGCTTAATGTCCAAACGGACTCAGCGCCAGCCCATACTCACCGGAGAAACCCTGAAGAGGTGAGCAGGGAAGAGGAAGGAGTGCCTGTGCCGAGGGGAAAATGATCTACTAGAACGTGTGAAACTTTCCATCCGGTGGAGGCAACAGAGCCTGGTCGCCCACCTATGGAGGAGGCTCATCAGTGCTTGTAGAGCCAAAGTGAAAAAAAGCAGCCCACAATTGCGTCAAGGCACATCAACAAATGATGCAGCCCAACGAGCCACGATAGCTACTCTCCTGGTCAACAGGAGTAGAGTCGATAAGGCCATCGGTGTCGACACCGCAAATGACGTCAGAAAGATTGGAGAGGGTATGAGCAAATGCATCCATAGTTGGTCGAGTGGCAGAGTATATTCCCAAAGGTCTTCTAGCAGAACGTCCAATCCTTTATATGGGGCCGGCAATGGAAAATCCGGAATGCAACAAGTCAAGGTAACAAGGCACAAAGCTGGGCGCTATTTGAGCGGAAGAAGTATCCATCGAATAGTGGTGCCACTCGTTGCACTCCAAACATGCCCCCGGCCGGTAGAAAAACAACACAAACAAAGCGGAGTTGTATACGGACAAGACAACGAAGATCTATCTCTTGAGATAGAGCGGTGTGCCAAAAGCCTTTTCCAGGGCGACCATAGGGCACCGTCTGATCTACAAATAGCATGTGAGCCTGCGAGCACTCTCCCCAGCTCTTTGCGTTTCTTGTGCTGGACTCCTGCCCTAGAGGTAGCTTTGTTTGTTGAGCCCGTGCCCATGGTTTGCTTCAACACTGGTGTGCTTCCTCGGCAAACAAAGCACATATAGTGCTATTCCTCAGCTTGTGCTTCCACATGGATAGGCAACTCCGCGCCTGGTTGTTACTGTACTTGTGACAAAGAAGATTCGGACGGAATGTGTTGAGCGTCGTTTTGCCTTCCCAATCGTTACTAACGTCGTTAGGACCCATGACTACCGTTCACGTGACGTCAAGACCCGGGTGATCTTGTTGTTTTGATGCATGCCCCACGTAGCCAGTCGAATATGCTGCCGCATGCCCGCAGTGGACCTTGTTGTTACCTGTGATGGTAACTGTCTCTGCCCGCGAAACCGTGGCCAAGGGCTGGCGGCGCATTCTAGGCTCCAGTACTCCAGTATGCATACTCTCGACCGTGACATGCGTCTGTTTTTGGGCCATTCATGGGCAATTTCTTTGTCACTTGGTGTACAAAGCCTATGCGATCCCCCGCTTCTTGGGAAATGGATACCATGTACTAAGGTCCAACTCTGAGACCGCTCTGCGACTGCTGCTTGCTGGCGCTTGCACACGTAATCACTTCACAGGCTGCTAATCGACATGGCTTCGCTCGAGGATGGCGCTCTCATCAATGTTTCGATGATCGAAGATCTCCAGCGTTCTCGACGGAATGCGATCACCAAAATCAGTGCGATCTGATCGCAGCGCCCGAAAAGAACTCCAGCGGCATTGGCGGGTTTAGGTTCAATGTTCGCGAAAGCGAAAAATGAAAGCAAAGTCCACGAACGCTCCCATCGTGACGGCAAGGGATTTCTTTAAGCGTCGGAGGGTGTACAACCCTACATAGCGCTGCTCGAGCACGAAAGTGGTATTGGGTTCAGGAGAACTTCAATTCCTGCATGGAGGGATGCGATGGCCTGGGCAAAGACGAAAGCGAAGGTCCAACGACACCCCCACGACACTGCCTGCTGCAACACGAACACACTTATGGCAGCGCAGAGAAGGAGCTCTACCGAGAGTCTGCCATTACGTGGAATGGTGGCTGAAACAGCCGAATGGACTCGCTGGTGCAGATCCTCACACATCCTCGCCTAAATCGCCGAACGTCTCGCGTCCTGGCAGCCATCGTTCCTCCTGAGCTGCCCGCGAGAGCGTCATGGGTGGTTTTGGCAAACCATATTTGCGCTTTCTCGATGCAAAATAGGTCACCGTTCCTGTCAAAGTTTGGGTCCCAGTATGATGTTTCAATAGGACAACCAGTCACATGTGTGTTTATTGCCGTCACTAGTACAGTGCGTGTTGCAATGTTAAAAGGCCTGTAGATTGTAAACCGCAACGCAGTGACTTCCCAGTAATGCAGCGGAAGAACGGAGGTAGCAGGTAGCAATAGCATCAAAATTAGAACGAAATGGGGATCCCAATGAAGACCCAAGCCCAAACACAAAGCTAATGCAGAAGAAGAAAAAAGCAAAGTTAAGCATTCACTGAAAGTTTGAAATCTTTGAACCACACATATTGGTCGACAGGGGAAGCCCACGATGGGTCATGACCACCAAAGAATGTGCTAAAGAATATGCCAGAGAAACCGAAAGCAGGTTCTGGCTGGGGTAAGTTACTGCTTGCCGATGGAGCAGCTAGGTAGTTCTCTTGCGGAGAAATTGTGGAAATTGCTAGCGGGCCAGCGGAAGGAGTGGGAGCTAGCGAAAGAGGGAGGCCTGGCGATGACAATGAGCTTGGTGTAATGGCGGTGTAGGTGTCCAAAGCTACCGGGGAGAGAGTAGCTGTGGGGACAGAAGGACGAGGTGTAAGGCCGTCCACTTGGTGAATAGAGGATAAGGGGTGCGACATTGTTATTGATGAGGCAGGGCCCAATGACAGTAGCGCATTTGCTACGTCACCATTAAATGCAGCTGTGTCGCCATTAATATCTGACACCTGCCCTACCAAAAGGTGCGGCTGGCCGTTCTTCGACATATCAGAACTCGACGAAACCACATGAGTGAGGGGAGCAACCAGTACAGTAGCCTCCCCTCGCGCGGCATCCCGCTTCTGAGGCTGGGCTGAAGAACGACGAAGAATACTCCCAAGCAGTGCTCCACCTGGTGGGTCATTGTCAGAGGGCCTGGAACCGAGGACACCGCCAAGTAAACCACCTAGGAGGCCGCCGAGCACGTCCGCTGAAGTCGTTGGTGTTGCCGTAGGAGCGGGCTGAGGCTTCTGAGAGGCGTCGGGTGGTATCGTCTCTCGGATTGGAGAGGGAAATGAGGACGGCTTTACCTCAGGGAGCGGAGGCTGTTCAATACTGCCCTTCACGCCTCGATAAAATATTCCGTCTAATGTCAAGACACGGACACCGTTAGCATCCAGCGTGAAGCCGCCATCCTGAACCCCAGGAGTGTTAAGTCGGACTGTCTGCTTCAGGTGAGTCCATGCACCAGGCGTAAAGTTGAAGGATCCCGAGCAAGGGACAACCCGTACTGGGGGTTGCACTCCGAAGTGTAAGGGGTGCTAGTGCATAGGTTTGGTCGTTGCTTAGACTTATCCACATACTTGAGGAGGAGATGAGCAAAGACAGATATGGGACACAGAGAAGGGACTCACAAGATAAAGCTCGCCCATTCCGTTCGCCCTCCACATGATCCTTGTGCTGAAGCATGTGTCCGCAACATTCCCTCCACTGCATCCCGTATGGCCGCCGAATAATCCAGGGAGTTTCCCACCCTTCATCCATAGGAAGTCATTCGGAAAGAAGGTGCTATACTCGAAGGTAACATTTGTGGCATTCAGCATCCCAGGAAGGGGCTGGCGTAGAATTCAGCACCACCCTGGGGAAAGTTAGCGGGTTTATTGAGTTTCTGGATAAAAGAGCTGAAGAATGTGTGTATCGTTTGACCGTGAGGGAGAAACATGATCGGGAGTGGAAGCGGCTGTGGAGGCAGGGGAAGAAGTTGTGGCGGAGGCACTGAAAGGAATACCCCGAACAACTTGGACTTTGTCTTTTCCATTTGGGAACTTTGTGACGTTCCAACAATCAAGATCCGAGGACTCCGCCGGGGGGTCCAGGTAGCCAAAGGAGTGGCCTGAGGTGTGGACGATGGAGATGGCGTTAATGACATTAAAGGCTCGGAAATAGAGGATTCCACAGGCGGAGGCATGACAGCATTACCACTTCAGTGGTTCTGGGGGCAGCGATGGTGGTGAACGCTGTTGTAACATCTGTAATTATCGTGGGAGGAACAGGACCAATGGAGGGGATTCAGAGTCGGAAGTGTAGGTTGAAGACTGGTCAGCCACGATAAATGGAGGGCTAGAGGGAGCGAACAGTGGTGTGAAGGCTGGAAAAGGCATGACTCTGGTGAATGTCATCATAGGCGGCACGGTGGTAGTAACAGTCAAAATCTCCAGATCTAGTGCAATTTTCCCAGGGAGAGGTGCCGCACGAGAGAAGTAGCCATAACCGACAAGAAGGAAAGTGATGAGATGAACCTCCATATTAAGGCTCCAAATCGTTTGCCGTTGTGAGCCTATAGCGATTGAAAGAGGAAAACGGTAGATGGGCAATTAGCAGTACATTATAAACCTCAATGGATTCTGACTACACTGCGAATTGCTCTCCGGTCGGAACTGCAATCCGTCAAATCAAGATTCAACTCATATATGTCTTACCAGGCGTGCCCGGGACCGAACACAACTGTGTCTTGGGTGTGATTTCCCATGAATTCCACCAAAGTAGTCATCATTGTTGCCGCGCTTACTTCCACTCGGTGACCTCGTTGTTTGGCTGCGAAATTACCCTCATCAGTGCATGAAGTCCCACCCAGGCGTTGCAGAGTACCTGGGATCGATATCCGCCCTTTGGCACCATTAACGCTATTCTTCCACTGTTGGGGATCGGGATACTGGTGCCAGCAGAGCATGAGAGAGAAGTCAGAATGAAATCTCGGCTCAAACCACCTTTATTTGCATCCGACAACATACAATACAGATTGACTATCTTATCAACACCAACCTTATGATATAGGTTGACACGCACATTGGGGCAGCAGGCGAACGAGAAGCTGGCTATCATACGGCCGAAGACTAGTCTAATAGCATTGTGCAAGAACAGAACGGACACGACGAGCAGAGCGGCGTTGAGGGGCAAGTGCTAATTATTCTGAGCTATGAGGGGCCAAGCAGACCAGAAGCAACTATCTGAGACATTAAAGGCGGGTCGCACTTGCTGAACAGCAAGAGGCTAGCAGTTGCTCTAGGGCTTATCGGACCAGGCCCAAGGGGCAACTTGGTGTTCGATTGCCTTCAAAACTTCAACGTCCCTTTTCAGCCAATGGTATGGTGGATGATCAAAGAGAATCTTCGAGATGCCACGGTAAGTTCCGATCGACCTAAGGCACTCCCACTCACTTGTACACACGTGCACCAAAAGCGTAAACGTCGCTCTTTGTAGTAGGATGAGAATCTTCCTCAGAGCTCTCTAATAACTCTGGCGCCAGGAATCGGAGTGTTCCTCCTTGATCAGAAGTTGTTTGCCCTGTCGGAAGACCGTCAAGGATACGGGATAGTCCGAAATCACACAATTGGGCACGCCCCGTGTCGTTGATTAGGATATTGAGCTATTCAACTCTGATCAGGAGCGCTTGTCTGGACACTTTTCGGCTGGGACGTACTGGTTTGAGATCTGCGTGGACAATAATAGCATCGTGATTATGGAGGTACAGTAGCCCCCGAGCTACGTCGGATACCTGTGTTCGTGCACATGTGTCGACCAACGTGCAAAGTCGATTCTATACAGATACTCACTAGCATCTCACGATCGGCAGCAGGATTCTGTTCCAGGTACTTCACAACATTCCCGTTGGCGCACCATTGCGACACCAGAGCAGCAGTAACTCCACCAACTTCGTGCTCTATTGCATAACCAATAAACTCAACAATATTGGGGTGTTTGAGATCTTTCCAGACCTTCATTTCTCTTCTCAGGTGCTGGAAACCAGTGTCATGGATAACGTAACGGGCATTGATGGTGTAATTAGGCCTCACCTTGACAACTTTCCTGGTGTGCTCAATTGCTGTCGCCAGACCGCTAATAGGTGGACGAAGCACTTTATAACATACCTATGAGAAATCATGAACTGGGTCAGCCGGAAACAATCACAATGACCTACAGGAATCAGATCGGCTCCATTGGGACGCCTCCAGTAGCTGCGGAACACTTCTGAGTACCCCCTCTAGCAACTGGGTTGTGCTCCCTTTGTGGGAATTGGCCGCTGAGATCCTGGACAATGTGTTCTTGCCTTAGTTCCTCGATGAGAACGGATGCAGTGTCTGCTTGTTGCATGGACGCGGGTTGCACTGCTGAGTCCGACGATTTAGGCTCTAGCATGGTCGATGTATGAGGATCGAGTGTTTGCGCAGGTGAGTCTATATGACCGTGATTGCTTGAGTCACCACTCGATGCAGATGTCGAACTTTTGACAGAGCTCTCTCTGTGCACTGCTTCAAGTTCGTTTGCGTTGAAGCGCCCTCCTGCCATGATTTTGGTGACCGCATTTCGCCATAAACGCTGGGGTTCGAAGTTCTGCCGAACACCAATGGGAGTAGCACGCTCAATCGAAACCGTGGAAAACTCGTGATCCTTCTGGCGGTTCAGGGATCTCCTGCTATCAAAAGAGCGCCGTTAGAATTTGTGTTCGTGTTTGCTCGCCATGGCTATTTTTAAGCTCACCACTGGCAGTGTCGATATGGTGGCTCGAGTTGCCATTTGATGCAGACAGTGAAGTCCCGAAGCGATCAGCGACCATGAGCTCAGTAATTGTATTCCTCCATGAACGCTGGGAATCGTTCTCCGGATTACTGATAGGAGCATCATGCCCGATTGACTCGGAGGCCGTAGGAGACCCGTAATCCTCTGGCGATTCACAAGATCTTCTGCCATCATGAGGGCGTCGGTGGAGATTTTACTTTCGTCTTTGCCTGTTTCTGAACTCACTATTATTGGTGCTGGTGTGACTCTGACTGCTCGAGGTGTCATTTGACCTAGATAGCGAACTTCCACCAGGGCTCCTCGGCAATACTGCTATCGCTTTCGCGCTGAACCGACCTACATCCATTATTTTGATTGTTCCATTCTGCCATAAACGCTGTGGACTGAAGTTCTCCTTGATGCCATTGGTAGTATCTTGCTCAATTGGCGCCATTTCGTTTCCCTGACGTCTCATGGGGTCTTTTTCCATCATAAGAGCGTTGTTGGGCTTTGCTTTCGTCATTGCTTTCATTATGCTATCCGTAAATCCACCAACGGCAGTAGTGATGTAGCTGTGGCTGCCTGAGCCATCATTTGATGCAGGTCTTGAACCTTCGGTGGGATCCCTTCTCTGCACCGTGGAAAGTGTGCTCGCCTTGATGCGACCTTCAGCCGTGACCCCCGCCATCGTATTCCGCCATGAGGATTGAGAATCAAAGTTCTCCCGGATTCCAATACGACTTTCGTGCTCGAGCGGTGCTGTGTAGGTGTTGCACTCGTTCCAGTGCTTGATAGAGTCTCCTACCGTCGCGAAAGCGTTCGTTGAACTTTGCTTTCGCCAACACTACAACTAAACTCACTAACGGTATCAGCAGTGTCTCCGAAGCCGCCATTTGGTGCAGATTGCAGACTGCCAGTAGGGCTCCTTTTCTGTGCTGCGATCAGTGTATTCGCCTTGAAGCGGCCTACGTCTCTAATCCTGGTGATCGCATTCATGAGAGTACTATCTTCGGTTGAGGCCATGTCGATCGGGAGTCTGTAACGATGTATGCAAACGCTGGAAAGCGGCAGCCTAGGAGTGATCTCAGAGTTGGACCTATACTATCCCTCCGTAGCTCCAACGTTAAATATACACGCGCGCGCACAAAGATCTCAGATCGTTGTTAGAATCGACAAAGGGCACTCTGTATCCATTTCCCAATAAATGGAGGTTGGCAACGTCGCTTAGTTTTTGTATTGCCACGGTGAGGCCGCGGGGTAATAAGACGGTCCTGCCACCACCACCACTACCATCACGATGGATGCAAAGGTCCTTTTGGTCCGGATTATGTAACCTTCTATCGGTTCAACTGTTGACATCCCGGGATATCCCGGTGGTGCGGACAACGGCGCAGAAATTCTGGATCAAGCACAAAGGTCAAGTCTGACAGTGATTCATAGAAAGTCATCGCTATATTTTGACGCGTATGATTCGAGAGTCATAACCGGATTCAGCTTTGTCAACAATAGGAAGATTCTTGGTTGCAATGCACCATCAGTCAATAATCTCAAGAGCTTCTAGTATAGATGGGATGCAACGGATTTGTCGTCGTGCCCAAATTTGCACCTTTACTCCCAACCCGGGGATGGTCGGACGCAAAACAAACGTTGCGATATTGGGTCAAGCGCTTGGAGCGCACCAAATCATTTCTGCTTATCAGACAACCTTGACACTTAACTCCCCATGGCCCGCTTCGCCCCATTAATGGTGCTTTGCATCAAAACCCTCGGACATGAATCTCCTCATAGAGACGCCTGTCCCTGCTACTAGCTCCAACCCAAATGCCATACTTTCCCCTTGGAACTCCCCACCGCTGCTCAACACTGTTCCAAACGGCAAAACTATACCGACTCAAACACATCTTCACGAGGGTTGATTCGCCTTTTCGAAGGAAGACACTGTCAAAGTTGCGAAGTTGTTTAGGTGGAGAGTTGGATGAAGGCGAGGGGGCTATGTATAACTGAGGGATCTGCGACGACATTGAAACAGTATTAGATTGCTAAAATTGTAGTTTGGGGGTCGGAAGGTATGAACGACGGACCTCAGTGCCATCCACGAGTCCAGTGTTAGTGAGCTCAAACGTGACTGTGATCCAATCGTTGTGTAGCCTTATGCGAGTTGGAATAGCTTCAGGATTAAGGTTCGCTGAACTGTTGAGTAAAAACACACCACGATGATAAGGACCGCTCAAGGCCAATGGGGCCCTGAGATTTGTCACCCAAGCCCCCACGCAAGTATACGATCGCCAGAGCGGAATAAGAGAACGAAGTATAGCTGAGTCCATATCCAAACTCGAACCGTGGCGTAATATTGTTCTACGGATCAATTTGTTAAAAATATAGTCCATTGTGTCAAAGTGCTGAGAAATTCGGGCACGCAGGGGTCGTACCTGGTCAAACCATCGATAGTCGATATACAATCCCTCAGTGTAATCGACATTATATCCGCTAGATATGTCAGCACTGTAGTCGGATGGAGACTTTGCGATTGTGTAAGGCAGCCGACCGGAGGGGTTAACATCCCCCCACAAGATGTCAACGAGGGAGTTTCCAGCTTCTTGACCTTGAAGTCCAGCATGTACACTGCATAGTTGAGCCGATTGAGCCGAAGCGGGAACAGGATATAGAAAAGTGACCTACACCGCGGTAACATTCGGATGATCAATCCATAATTCCATGTTGATCGCCTAATCAAAAAGCGGGGCTCGGTACATGTTGTCAGTAAACCTCAAAAGTCTCACACGACTCACCCCAACGGCATGAATGATCACAACAGTGTTCTTGTTCTCCCCCGCCACGGCCTTTACAAGCTCGTTCCCACCATGCCATGCGTTCAAATCGTTCCTGTCACCTAGATTCCCCTCGACGAGAATATGTCCCTCACTTGCTTCACCTGAATCAGCGGTAATGAACACAAATGCGACATCCTTCCCAGATGAAGCATTTTTCGCTGCAATCAGATCAGCATCGCTTAGGCTTGAAAACACAGTGGCATTGATAGAGTTTGCCTTTGCGGTTATGGCGGAGAGCGGGTCGATGAGGTATGTAAAGTCGGCGGTACCTAGCGTGTTGACGACGGCCCTAGCAGTGAGCGACGGAATTTACGGAAAGAGTCTAAAGCTCACCACTTCCCCATCCAAGAGCCAAGATGCCAACATTACAGCGGCGTCCTAGACAACCTATGACATTTCAAGTCAATCTCTCCATTTCTAGACCCCTAACACCGCCCAGCCCGAACTCACTGTTAGGTCCCTCTGGATTAGGCCCCGCATCACTCCCAACAACCGCAATACTTCTCACGCTATTCCCCAATGGCAATTGGCTTCCATCATTCTTCAACAACACGGTACTAGCAGCCCCCATGCTCCTGATCAGCTTCTTATGATCACCCTGAACATCCATATGCTTTCCCCTCGAAGAATTCCAACTATCAAAATTCACGCTAGGATAATCTCCACTGTCCTGTCCTTGCACATAGTACGCCGCCAGTATACGGGTTGCCATATCGTCGAGACGGGAGGTGGGTACCTGCCCTGTCTTGACTGCATTTACCAGTGCGGTTCCAAAGTACGAGGATTTTCCGCCGCGGGAGACTTCGCCTGGCATGACCATCTATTTTTGGACAAATCCAAGTAGGTAGTTCACCAGGAACAAATCAGTACAACTGGGATCCATTCTGGATGGCGACTTACGTCGAGCCCTTTGTTCACAGCAAGTGTTCCAAATTCATCCAAACGTGCCCACCAATCCGTCATGACATCTAAACCGGCGTTCCGCTCAGGGGCCTCGGGAGGGAAATAAATCGCAAACAAATAGGAAACTCACAGCCTTGAAATCCAAGCTCTGTTTTGAGCAGGTCATTGAGGACATGCTCATTTTCGCATGCGTAGGTTCCATTCACTTGGTTATATGAACACATGAACGAAACTACACCAGCTTGAATGGCTTTGAAGAATGGGTGGAGATAGATCTCATGTGTCTATGGAAGGGAAATGTACCCGTGAGGCGAGAATGTCATCAACCGTAAAGGAAGGAACATACAGTGCGATCATCAACATTAGAAGAGGATGACGTGCGATTTGTCTCTTGTTCACTAGGAAAATCCCAGTTTCAGCCTCATCCCACGATAAAAAAAAAGTAGATCGTACTTATTAATGTAATGCTTCACACTGTATCGGAAATGTCTCAATACAAATCTAACCCGAATCTAAAGAAAATTCACCAAGCTTGAAGTCCGTTAGCCTGCAATCCTTTCACAGTCTCGAAGCTGGCTTCCCCAGTGAGATATGGATCAGCTGTACAGCCCAGTAAATTATAAATCATTAGGAAGATATTCTTATCATGAAGAGCAACATACCTCCAAACGTTTCCCAGTTCCTCCCTGCTCTGGGAGACCGAACGATGTTGATATCAGGACCCAATGCGACATTCACACCCTTCCCTTTGAACTCAGCGCCCTAAATGGCAAGAATGTCACAAAATGAACAAGGATCGCTCAGTTGCACGGTGTGAACATACCATTGCAAGGCCACGAGCCCGCATCATAGTCCTATTGAACGTTGCAGCAATGTTGATTCCTCTAGATACGCGTTGCGTAAACGCATCAGAATCCCTTAAGTTGACGTCATATGAGTACGATTCCGGAATAACTCACGCCGGGAAGACGCTAACAAAATCCGCAAGCCGGACCCCGGTTGGGGAATCTTGCAAGCAAAGACCCGGGTAGTCGATGGATGGGACAGCGGGGGTGTTACCAACACAAGGACTGGAAAACCCAACATGGTATTGAAATGATTAGCTTATGGATGCATTGGGGCGCAACGTCGAGCTTCTCACCCCTTTTCCCTACCTACACCAGTGGCTATCATATATGAAGGTACAAAAAAAACATCAACAGGCTGGCACATGCGTACAACACTTAGTAACGAGCATACCAAGCGCAACTTTATCCTTCACAGACATACTTGCCACGACAGCTTTCGCCTTCACAATGGCAGCAGGCCAATCCCCGACATGCTTAGTACCGATAGGCGTGGGTGTAGTTCCGCCAGTATTTTGATTCCGAGTAAGCGCATGATGGTAGCGACTATTATGTTGGCGACTCGCTGTCAATGGGCCCAAGGCGGTGCGCGTAGATATAAATAACGCCATGGAGCATAGTGGACAAAATGGCTTGAGATGCCTTGCATGTATGGACGTACTTACCTTTCAAGAGAACGGCTTCAATGGAAGAGAAAATGAAGACTCCCAAAGACAGAGCACAAGAGCAGAGCAACAAGACAAGCAACTTTGCCATGATGGTGCTAAGAACGTGAAGGGGCCCCTCGTTCAGCAAGATAAAGGGGGTGCGTGAACGAAGAAGAAGTTTGCGAGCTAGGGTGGCTTCAAACCTGGAGGAAAATAGAGGCTGGTATCCTGCTTAGAGACAGAGTGTAAATAGAGTCGAGCTCTGAACGAAGATGCAGGGTTGGGTGATCTATGCCATCAGCGGGGGTAGTTTAGGGTGGATGTTTACACAACCTGGTCACGCGGTCAAGTGACAAAGCCCCTGTCAGACGAAGGTCAACGGTCTCAGGGACTGTACTACCCCTTAGCGGCGTCATTGCCGCACGGCTATCAGACCCCTATGCCATGTGTCTCAAGTATCCATTTTTGACGCTCGAGAAGTGAGTCAGTGCCAAGAGCATGATGTCTTTTTTTGTACTAGTCTGATTTGTTACCCCCCGGTCGCGTGACGACACAACACTGCGGCTCTAATCTACATCGAGTTTACATGTGACGGTCATCAAGACGGGAAAATAACAAGGGCGGGTGTCATTGTTGGCCGGGCTTGCGAGGCGTTTGTTTACAGTGGGAGGTCCGTGTGTTTGATCGACGCGCTACTTGCCGACTCGCGGGAACTCTTCTGCGTTTTCTGCTCAAGCACTCAATAATTGAATAAAGCAAGCAGGCAATCAGTGCTGTAGTCATTGTTGGGGGGGGGGGGGGGGGGGGGGTAATCCAGCTCAGGACTGGGATATCACCACGGTATAGGGATGAACCGGATTAGCGTGCATTGATGTTGCCTTTGGCCAAGGCGCGCTCCCATGCATGCGTACCACCGTGGCCAATTGATGCAAGATCGAACCGCCGATGCCAATATTCTTATTCCCTATTTGCAGGCATCAGGAAAGCTCTTCCCCCGGCCCTGGCCACAAACAAAACAGATCACAAGCGGAACCCCTAGGACACTTATATACTTTCCGCGGCCCACTCCACCAATGATCCTCAGACATCAATCTCTCCATAGAGTCGCCTATCCCTACTACTAGCTCCAACCCAGACACCATACTTTCCCCTTGGAACCTCCCACCGATGCTCAATGCTTTTCCAAACGGCAAAACTATACCGACTTAAATACATCTTGGCAAGGCTTGATTCACCTTTTTGGAGGAAGACACTGTCAAAGTTGCGGAGTTGTTTAGGAGGTGAATTCGCCGAAGGCGGGGGGACGATGTATAACTGAGGAATCTGCAGGACATACAATAATAAATTAGATCGTTAAACTAAGATTGGGGTGGCGGTATGAATCACAGACCTCAACACCGTCCACAGATCCAGTGTTAGTGAGCTCGAATGTAACTGTCATCCAATCGTCATGCAACCTTGTGCGTGCATGGTAGACGGACATTAGAATTAGCTTTCGCTGAACTGTCGAGTGAAACGCACCACGAAGATAAGGATGATCCAGGGCCAGTGGGAGCCTGAGGTTCGTTACCCAAACCCCCACCCAAGTATACGATCGCTAGAGCGGAATAAGAGAACGAAGTATAGCTGAGTCCGTATCCGAACTCGAACCGTGGCGCAATGTTACTCTACGACTCGTCACAATACGGCGTGTCAAAGTGCCTCAAAATTTGAGCAAGCAGAATTGTACCTTGTCAAACCATCGATAATCGATATACAAACCCTCAGTGTAATCAACGTTATACCCATTGGAGATATCGGCACTGTGATCAGATGGAGACTTCGCGATCGTGTACGGTAGCCGACCTGAGGGGTTAATATCCCCCCACAAGATGTCGACAAGGGAGTTCCCAGCCTCCTGACCCTGAAGTCCAGCATAGATGCTACGCAATTGAGCTGATTAAACCGAGGCAAGAGCACGATATAGGAAAAAAGACCTACACCCCGGTGACATTCGGATGATCGATCCATGCTTCCATGATAATCGCCTGCTCAAAGCAGTGCACCGTGCATGTTGTCAATGAATCTCTTAAAACCTCACACAACTCACCCCAACGGCATGAATGACCACGACCGTGTTCTTATTCACCCCCGCAACGGCCTTCACAAGCTCATCCCCACTATGCCATGCATTCAAATCATTCCTGTCGCCCGGATTCCCTTCAACGGTAATATATCCTTCACCCGAATCAGCGGTAATGAACACGAATGCCACATCCTTCCCGGATGAAACATTCTTCGCTGCACCCAGATCAGTATCGTTTAGGCTCGAAAACACGGTGGCGTTGATCGAGTTTGCTTTTGCCGTTATAGCAGAGAGTGGGTCGACGAGGTATGGGAAGTTGGCGGTACCTAGTGTGTCGACGATGAGCCACGGAATTAATGAAGAGTCCAAGGCTTACCGCTTCCCCATCCAACAGCCAGAATGCCAACATCGCAACCACGTCCTGGACAACCTACAATATTGTTAATGTCTCCATCTCCCGCATCCCAACACCGCCTGGCCCGGACTCACTGTTTGGTCCTTTTGGATTAGGCCCCGCATCACTCCCAACAACCGCAACACTCCTTACGTTATCCCCCAATGGCAATTGACTTCCAGCATTCTTCAACAGCACGGTGCTAGCAGCCCCAATGCTCCTAATCAGCTTCTTATGGTCACTCTGAACATCCACATGCTTTCCCCTCGATGAAGTCCAACTATCAAAATTCACGCTGGGATAATCATTGCCGTCTTGTCCTTGTACGTAGTATGCTGCTAGTATACGAGTTGCCATATCATCGAGACGGGAGGTGGGTACCTGCCCTGTCTTGACTGCGTTCACCAGTGCGGGCCCGAAGTAGGAGTGGTTTGCACTGGGAGAAGCTTCGCCTGGCATAACCATCTATTCAGATAAACCCAAATAGGGATATCAGCACAGCTGGAATCCAGTTTGATGGCGACTTACATCGAGTCCTTTGTTCGCGGCAAGAGTCCCAAATGTATCTAAACTCGCCCACCAATCCGTCATGACATCTAAACCGGAATCATCCCTTCTGCTCAGTACCTCACGGGGGCGAATAGATAATAAGCAAACAAGGACTCACACCCTTGAAACCCAAGCTCCCCTTTGAGCAGGTCGTTGAGTACATGCTCATTTTCGCAGGAGTAGGTTCCATTCACTCGGTTATATGAACACATGAATGCAACCACACCGGCTTGAACGGCTTTGAGAAAGGGGTGGAGGTAGATTTCATGCGTCTATGGACGGGGGAGGCATTTGGGCGAGAACGTCAAGGAATGAACATACAATGAACATACAGTTCGATCATCAACGTTAGAGGATGACGACGAGCGATTCGTCTCCTGTTCACTAGGAAGACGCCAGTTTCGGCCTTATTCCACAATTGAAGGAACATAGATCATACTTATTAATATAATGCTTCACGCTGTGTAGGAAGTGTCTCAGCACAAGTGCAACACGAACACAAAATAATCGACTTCACCAGGCTTGAAGTCCATTAGCCTGCAATCCCGTAACAGTCTCGAAGCTGGCTTCCCCACTGAGGTACGGATCAGCTTAACAGTGAAGTGCAATGGAATCAACAAGAAGATACTCCCATCACGAAGAAAGAACAACACACCTCCGAACGTCTCCCAGTTCCTCCCCGCACGAGGAGACCGAACGATGTTGATATCAGGACCCAAGGCAACATTCACACCCTTCCCCTTGAACTCGACGCCCTAAATATTCCGAGGAAAAGGAGAATGTCACGAAAAATCACGTCGTTCTATGGTATGAACGCACCATCGCAAGGCCACGAGCCCGCATCATAGTCCGATTAAACGTTGCTGCAATATTGATTCCCCTGAATATAAGGGGACGCGTCAGAATACCTCAAGTTGATGACATACGAGCGGCGATTCCGAAATAACTTACGCAGGAAAGACGCTAACGAGATCGGCAAAGCGAACTCCAGTTGGAGAATCTTGCAAGCAAAGACCTGGATAATTGATGGATGGGACAGCGGGTGTATTACCAACGCAAGGACTAATGAAACCAACACGCCAAGCAAGGGGTTGAAATGATTAAGTTGAGGGACGCGTTGGGACGCCAGCATCATTGAGTCCCTCACCCATTTTTCCAACCTATCCCAGTAGCTGTCAAATTAAAATCAGCAGAAGCTTGACACACGCGTAGTTATGCTTAGGAATAGGACGTACCAAGTGCAACTTTATCCACTACGGACATATTTGCCACAACAGCTTTCGCCCTCACAATAGCCACAGGCCAATCTCCCGCACGCTTCCCATGACGAATACTCACGGGCATCGACGCAGTCCTGCCGGTATTGCGATTCCAAACGAGCCCACGACGGTGATGACCATGCTGTTGATAATTCGCTGTGTTCAAGTGATAGACCAAGGGGGTGGGGCAATAAATAACGCCATGAAGCAAAAAAAAGAGAATGGTCAGCAAATTCCGTCGGTTTAAAGAGCACTGCATGCTTTGAACACAGAACCAAACGGACGTACATTTCAAATGAACGGCTTCCACAAAAGAGTGTACGAAAATCTCTAAAGCCAGAGCACAAGAGTAGAGTAACAAAACGAGAGACTTCATCGGCGATGACGAGAATGTTTAACGAACGTATTGAGAGAGAGGACAGCAAATGTGAGTGAGCCTTGGGAAAGCTTTTCTGGCCGGATACCTCGTTCAACGACGCCGAGGCGTGAATGAGACAGCCCGAACGGCAAAAGCCTCAACGGGCTCAACTCCACTGACCGGGTAGATCAGTGTCAACTCGGACCCAACCCTATTCCGAAGAAAAGAATTGAACCCTATTATTCTCTAAACGAAGCTCAGGGTTGATGGGGTCATCAGCATCATTATGTAATATCATCCCGTTCTCTGCGGGGATTTTGCGGAGAGCTAGACGGGGATGTGTGGACTCGCGATGATGTGAGAGCCGAACGGCTTCCCACGGTTTGGCACCTGGGCGGAGAAGCAATTCCGCGACTGGGTAATGTGTACGAATTTACAATTGAGCATCTTGTGTCAATGTATGGCGAACAATTATAAGTTGCATTTAGCGTAACACGCGCCAAGTTATTTTGACTCAAGAAACATAGCTCAAGGACCTCGCCACATTATTCTCCTACAAGTACCTTAAATCTCGATCGATCCAGAAAGCTTCCCGTCCCTGCTACTGGCCCCAATCCGAACACCATACGTTCCCCTCGGGATCTCCCACCTCTGATTTGCCGCATTCCACACAGCAAAGCTGTATCGACTCAAACACATCCTCACAGGACTCGAGGCATATCTTGGAATGAAGACGCTATCGAACCCACGGAGTTGTTTGGGTGGCGAGTTGGACGAGTCGGGCGGGGCCAGATAAAGTTGGGGGATCTAACGAAATTGAAAGGAGGTTTTATTAAAAATCGGAGTTGGATGGATAATGCAGGACGAACGAACCTCTGTCCCGTCCACGGGGCCAATATTGTTTACAGCGAACGTTACTACGATCCAATCGTCATGCAACCTAACGTAACACCAAGAGAACCAACTTCAATCGCCAGTTTGAACACCGCAGGAAAAGCACGTACCACCCAGATAAAGATGAACCCGGACCTGTAGGAGCCTCGTAACCATCATCGCCTCCAAGCTTATTAATAGCTAGCCCAGAATAAGCGAACGTCGTATAACTGAGCCCATACCCAAATGGAAACCTCGGGGAGATATTTTGCTGTTGAAAGAAATCGTCCCCATCAATATCAGTGTACCCCAATATGCTCATCAACGAGAGGGTCGGAAAACAGCGCTTACCTTATCGAACCACCTGTAATCAAGATACAACCCCTCGGTGTAATCGACATCATGATTCGGGCCAATATCAGCACTATAATCAGATGGAGACTTTGCGATGGTGTAAGGCAATCGGCCGGATGGGTTGACATCCCCCCAAAGGATGTCGACGAGGGAGTTCCCAGCTTCTTGACCTTGAAGGCCCGCATGAATGCTAACAGACGTGAGGGGTTTATAAAGATAACAAAGCGAATTACGAGGGACGCTTACACCGCCGTGACGTTAGGATGATCAATCCATGCCTCCATGATAATGGCCTAATGAAAAGTCACGCTCAGCAAGCTCGTCACTGTCTATCTTTTCATGACAACTCACTCCAACAGCATGCACAACCACGATCGTGTTATTATTCACCCCTGCAACAGTGTTCACAAGCGCATCCCCACCGTGCCAAGCATACAGGTTATTCCTATCCCCCGGGTTCCCCTCAACGGTGAGGTAGCCCTCTCCTGAATCGGACGTTATGAACACTAGTGCAGCATCCTTGCCCATTGATGCGTTTCTCGCGGCAACAAGATCATAATCACTTAAACTGGACGCAACATTGGCACCGATAGATCTGGCTTTGGCAGTAATAGCAGATAAAGGGTCGACGAGATACGTAAAGTTGGCTGTACCTGAACACGGACAGAATCAGTGGGTCTGGAAGTCAATAAACCCCTGCCACGTACCACTGCCCCATCCTATACCAAGAATCCCGATATTGCACGAGCGATCCGCACAACCTTCAGAAAAAAACCAGTTTACTCGACCTGACAGACACAAAGATTATAAACATACTATTAGGTCCATCAGGATTAGGCCCAGCATCGCTCCCCACAAGTGCTAAACTCTTCACTCCATCCCCAAGCGGCAAAGCCCCACGGGAATTCTTGAGAAGAACGGTACTAGCGGCTCCAATTTTCCTTATTAAATTTCCGTGGTCTCCTCGTACATCCACATGCTGCCCATTCGCTGGATTCCAACTATCAAAATTCACTGCTGGGTAAGCCTGATCTTGACCTTGTACATAGAAAGCTGCGAGAATTCGGGTGGCCATGTCGTCCAGGCGGGAGCTGGGGACTTGTCCCGAATTGACGGCGTCGATGAGAGCGGGGCCGAAATAAGAGACATTGCCGCTGTAGAAAGATGCACCGGGCATAACCATCTATAAACCACGCAGAACACGAGAAGTGAGCGTGTGGGTCAGGCAAGTAGACAAATGCTTACGTCAAGACCTTGATTTGCGGCTAGAGTTTTGTACTTTTCCATATTGACCCACCAATCCGTGGTAACATCTAGGATTATCGCAACACCAATGCTTCCAGATCGTGAAATTACAAGTGGGGGGATACTTACAACCTTGGAACCCAAGTTCAGTCTTGAGCAGGCCATTCAAAATATGATCGTTCTCGCAAGCCCAAGTCTCATCGACTTGGTTATACGAGCACATGACCGAGACAACGCCAGCCTGGACTGCTTTCAAGAATGGATGAAGGTAGATCTCATGTGTCTAAACAGGAAGAAGCTGAGCGATGAGCTTGGCAACAATGCAACGTAGTGTGACACACAGTGCGATCATCCACATTTGAAGATGATGATTGACGATTGGTCTCCTGTTCGCTGGAAGGAAACATTAGCTCGAACATACCACTTAGTTCAAGAAGTTAGTACATACTTGTTGATGAAATGCTTAGCACTGCAAAAATACCAGCAACCGTCAAGGAGCGGTCACTCAACCCAAACTCATCACCGCACTTACCAAGCTTGAAGCCCATTGGCTTGCAAACCCATAACGGTCTCGAAGCTGCCCTCCCCAGCAAGATACGGATCCGTTCCGAACATTTCCCAGTTCCTCCCTGCTCGAGGAGACCTGACCATATTCATTCCAGGTGCAAGCGCAACATTTACACCTTTAGCCTTGAATTCAGCGCCCTATTTATGCGTAGAGGGACAAGTGCACGCCGGCTTAGTGGAAGGGAAAAGAGGAAAACAAAAAGATGAGAAACGTACCAGAGCAAGAGCGCGGTCACGGATGAGGTTTCGATTGAACGTCGCAGCAGCATTGATCCCTCTGATAATTAAAATATACATTCCTCTGATTTGAACTCAAGGCCTTGAGAGGTTGCAACTCACGCAGGAAACACGCTAATCAGGTCTGCAAACCGAACACCACCAGGTCCGTCTTGCAAGCAGAGGCCTGGGAAGTTGATAGATGGAATGGCAGCAATATTTCCAACGCATGGCCTGAAAAAGCAGAAAGAGCAAGGGTCGAATGTTGAATGGTGGATGCATGAACATCACTACTGACCCTTCCTGCCACCCAATACCAGTGGCTACAACGACGAACAGACGGAGTGGAAAATGAGTTATATTTCGAACATGGGAAATGGCTAGACATACCAAGGGCAACCTTATCCTCAGTGGACAGGGTGCTCACGACGCCCTTCGCCCTGTTGGTGGCAGCAGCCCACTTCCCGGGCGGGTTCGTACTGTCAGTTCGAGGAGTATTCAGCCTAGCAGGGCCGTGATGGCCACGGCGATAGTAAGCTGTAAGGAACGGCAACCGGGGCATGGCGCGTCACGTTGGGGCCACGATCATTATAAACAAGTGAGCCACGGCGAGGTGGAGAGCGAGATAGGGTATCAACGTACGCTTATGTAAAGCGAAAACTGAAGTTGAAAGAATGGCAAACGCGATGGAAAGCGCGAAAAAGAACGTGTTCATGATTGGTCGATGTTTAGGATAGGAAAAGAGTGTGAAGAGGCAAATGAGAGAAGGAAAGCCTTCCTATCAGTTCTTGGGCCTTGCTCGGACAGAGACGGTCGAGTGCAAGGAACTGGGGGAGGGTACGAGAGAAGGAGAATTTCCAAAGATTTGAGCTGTATTTATGTGATGAGCATAACTGAATTCCCACTCGAAGAAGCTCGAAGTCGAAGGAGCTACTCAATTTGACACAGAAACAATTGATGATTGTCTAAAACCATTATGTAAGCAATATGAATGGAATTAGCTCACGTGTGCACCGGATATTCCATCACTGACTGAGTGTTTTCGGTGAAACATTCTCAGGCTTGACTTGTCCGGATCCGATATTATTCAACTCAGCTTCAAATGAGTATGTAAAGAACCACATTTCAAATTGCATGACAGGATTCTGTTTTTCTCGCACTTTACACATCAGCAGGATACACTGATGGCCATGGCCTGCTCGATTGTTGAATTTCGTATTTCCACACAGGGCTCCAGTGCATAACTGGGAGAGGTGACATCCCCCAGCCAACCGCTCATTAATCGAGAGCGGAACAATAATGAAGGCCTTCGCGCTTGCTGTTCTTCCGATTGCATCTTCGCTTGGTCTGCGCTGGCCATTGGACCCTCTTTCTGGCTGGGACGGACAATGTCCCTGCGGCCACTCTCAGGCTCAACCTCGACGTCACGGTGCGTATGAACAATATTAACGGGGCTGTAAACGTACGGCCCAGGCCCAGCATCTACCTGGATGACATGGAATGGCGAGTCATCGTGGGGACTTCAAGCACGACACGTTCCGATTCGGGCAATAATTCGAAGAAGTGGATGCTGCGAGACTTGTGGATTCTGCAAGTGTCAGGGTCATATGTTGTTATCAGCCGGTGGTGAGAGTCTGAGCTCGATACCAAGTCAATTGTTAGATATCGTGCTCTAGTCAAGTCGCAGTCCCTTATGTACCTATTTGGGTGGCCAGAATATTACAAGGGCTTTCGTAAGTGCTGTCACAATCTTGTGTATCCGTGTCTTGCACAATACCGATTGAATGTATTGTGGTTCACTATTAAAACAGCTGATCATTTGACATTCAATCTCTTGACCTACGCTATTCGCTCTGATCAAATTCTGCTCTCAGGGGTGTTCGCGTGAGGGCGGCAGGACATTATGTAATGTGAATCGACAACAGGATGAGAAAGCAAATGTTTGTTGTGCTGATTCATAATTTGAGCCCAAATCGACTTCGCTTCCATCCAATAATCACTTCTCCGAGAATCCCAGGGAGCCGTGAAGAACGACAATCCGTGTAATGCCAGTTTCAGAGAAGGCGTTTGTTGTATGGACGCACCCAGCCTACCATCTCCTACCATACGCATGCAGAAATATTTCCCTCATGTGTGGCCATAGCGACAGATAATCACAGTGGAAAGTAACCCCGGTATATGGTATTGAGTTGCCCTACCAGCCTGCTAGGTAGCTCCGTTACTAGTTGACGGGTTAGCGATCCCATCCCGATGCGAGACTGGGATCTCCTATCAGATATTCGCAGTCTGACGAGGTGGGTATATATATAGTGTATTGGCGGGCAAATGCGCCGATGAATTGAATTGAAACTTGGCCATTGACATGACGTGGCTTGTGCCAAGAGGCTGGTAACTTGCCCAGAGGCAACACCACTTTTTTCAAGTCCTCGTCTGTCTCCTGTGTGTTTTGAACGCTATCATTTTTGTTGGAAAGCGGCTCGCATGTTGGAATAAATATAATGGGCCTGCATTTGATCAGTATGGTAGTTGTGCGTGTAGCTCTGTTGGTTTTCATGTGTGTTGGTCTGTACAGTGCTAACACCGCGGGCCCCGACGGACGAGCTACTATACACGGCTTCTCAAATGGTTTCCTCACCCTGTGATGTTTGCCTGACGGGCTCACGCGTCATTGATATTTTTATGTTTCTGGGGAAAATCGTATTAGACGATCTGTGGGAGCCATACAGCGATGGTTTGCGGAGACGCGAGGATCGTGGGCACTGGGAGGCCGTTGCTTTGTTCTCTCTGGGTGGCAACAACATCCAGAAATTGTTACATATGGCATTAATGACGCATGCATCAACCAGTGGACTTCTCGGAGTATTGGCTCTGCCAGTCATTTCCCAGTCCAGTCACATACTAGCGGAACCGGTTCTTGCTCTCTCCAATTTGGCTCCTGGGCCCAGCCGGTCTCTGCCGATTTGGGTGCGTTTCATCTCAACGTATGGGTCACCTCTCCAAGTTCAGAATGGGGCGATTATATAACAACAAAGCAGCGACGCAAAGGTAGTCGAGAATCGAAGAGCGTGTGAGATGAGCCGCCGTTGGGAGGCGAACGGAGACCGAGTGGAGTTGAAACGAGATAGATCGGAAATGAGGTGCGATTTGGGTTCAATGACGCAGCTGCGTTGGACTGTATCGTTATGTGGTCAGCTACCCAACGCGCACGACTTAGCACTGCGCTGGTGATGGTCGAAATGTAATGTCTTTGATATAGAATTAGCCGTACAGAAGGTTCGGAATTAGTGCTGCGCTTTGAGTATGGAGGGCGTGCTAGGCTAGATCCACCGATCACGATTCCGTTCTGGTGTCATCACTGGGGTTATAACAGGTGTGCAGAGTGGGCCCCTAATCGTCCCTTCCGGGCTCAGATTACCATCAGTCTCGACAGCTGGTTGATCACCTTCAGCAGCTGGTGCCATATCCACCAGCCCCATCGTCAAGGCTGCACCTTCCCCTCCTAAGGAACGCGAAGGCGGAGATTGCCACCCGCTCAGTGGAGGAGGACTAAGGGGACCGACCGATAGTTCAGGGGCCCAGGTTGTAGTCCCGTGTAAGTGGCGCATGATTTGAAGGAGCTCTTCAAGGTGCTTTACGACATCTTCCATTAAAGCGTTTTCGGCTGGGAGACGCGCAGGAGGCAACGAAAAGTCTTCAAGTTGTATCATCTCAAGAGTTGCAGGAATTTATCATACCCAGAGCGTACGATGCGGCAAGAGTTCTGCGCGGTCTGTTTCGTGCAGAGCCATGCCTGGGAGCGTCTCTCGAGATTGAAGCTGTCCCATCGCTACCACCTGGGGAAGTGGCCCATGCACCTACACCCGTCAGCTGATACATTTGCATCGCCAAGTGCTTCTCTCGAATCAGAGCATCAAGCGCGTGTTGGGGTGAGGGCAAAAATTGAGGGAGGCTCTCTGACGTTTCGAATGCCATTTCGGACGCGTAGAGAGATACACAAATGCATGACACCTAGTCAAGGGTGAGTATTCGATTCTCATGGGATAATCCGGAGCAATCTGACATACAAGATCTTTTCTGTACGAGAATACATCAGTCACTGTTTCCTTTTTGGGGATGTTTTCTCTTATGCGCCGTAAACCGATGAAAAGGTCCAATATTCTGTGGAGTATAAAAATAATTTTCCTATAGGTTCGTAGAGGTTTCTGTGCAATTCGATCCAGATTCTCCCTACTACCATCGGAGGGGGAGGTACTTACAGGCAGCAAACTGATTTCCATCCACATCATATCAATTAGCGAATTTGCACGGAAGAGCGAATCATGTATGTCAGTCTCCAATTCAACCCAAAGCCTCGACTGCGACGCGCTACCCGGATCCATGGACAGAGTCAGCCTGTGCGGGAGTACCAAGCCTAAGAGTCCCATCGTTCGACAAAACAGCACGGCGTACTTAGTCAGTAAAATATATAGTTGAGTAAACTTCCGAAGAGTCTTAGCGGTCTGAGATTCGAACATGCGTCGACAATGCCGTGGGAACACAAAATGATTCACTAAGCTGTGAAAATGGATTAGGAATGTCTGAATATGTACAGCACACCTCGAGAACTCACACTGCAACTATAATACCTAGTGCAATTGCCATGGCTCGATTGACAGATATGGCTTTGGAGGAATGCATCAACATCAAAACTTCACACTCTAACAAGGGCCTATTATTCACGTACGAAGAATTGATCCGTGTGTGGCCTTGTTCCGGGTTGTAAATATAATTGGAGGTATCGTGATGGATGCGACCACTCCAATGGGAGCTACAGATGTCCGTAAGATCAGCCAAGAAATCGGGACTTCCGCAAGCTACTCAAATATAGCTTCTATAAGCAGTAGTCTGGCTAAGATGAACCAAAAAAATCACCGTATATAGTAGTACGAATGTATATGGAGTGCGATGAGCAATCAGCCATATCTACCATTTGGTTCTTATCAGACAATATTGTGAATAAACTGGGACTGGGAGACGCTTACCAGGCATGCCATGACAGCCCCAAGCAACGTCCCTAGAAGACGAAGTCCCCCGACTTGAATCGTGGCACCAGTGTTTGTTTCAAGAACGAAGATGTATGTCGCAACCATCTCAGCATCGACATGAGCACACACACCATGAAATATATATGCCCAATAACCTCTTACCCATTGAAGGTGATATTTACGGAACAAATGACTTGCTAACTATCCATTTAATAAGTCCACAATGTGGATAAAATTCATCTGTTGCTTGCCTTGATTGCTACTCGGCAAGAATGCTGGAAGGCTGAGTAGGAGGACTCCAATGCCATTCTTAAGCGCATATCGGAGGTTGCTGGAATGCTTGACACCGCGGATGGCGCGAGACAATCGCACGCGCGAGCCCGAAAGAGATGACCATCTATGCAGCACGTAGACCGGCATGCGCGCCAGTCGGGAAAAAAGCGACCAGTACTCCTGCTCACTGCCAAGTGTTCGATTCCTTGGAAGCGCAAATCCTTGATACTCTCCTTCGACCTCCATTTCATCACTGCGAGGGCTCGGTGGTATTGAACTTACAGCTCTTGCTGAGTGGAAGTGAAAACTGTAACCGAATTTTGGACGGAGATTTAGGATGTTGCCTTACCGATAGAATCTACTTTGGCTCCAGCATCGCTCCACTCAGCCGAGAGTGACTCGTTAAACCATCGACGCGTCAGTTTCGGGAGCCATAAACGACGTCGTTTGTGTTCCTGAAGCTTAATAGAGATGCCTCGCCCAATTCGGAGGATCAAGTCCGTATCCTCCGCGATCTATGCCCGCCGGGACGGTCCCAGGAGAGCAAACGGTCAGATAGGGTTAATTCC